TATATATATATATATATATATATATATATATATATATATATATATATATAGTATATTATTGTATGCTATATATATTGTAGGCATACATATATATTATACGAATCGTTCAACCGAATTAATACGTTCTATTATTTCTTTTCCTTTTCTATATTTTTCCTCTTTGTTTATATGATAATTGATACTCACTTGTAATGTTCTAGACCTTGTTCCAAACCAAAAACAAGAAGCATAAATGTTAGCGTTACAATAAAGGTGACGGCTTTTGTCCATTCAAAAACTATTTTGGTAGCAGACATAGCTAAATGTTTTATCTTGGATCTCTCCGTGAGAGTCACATAAGGTGACCAATCTTCCTTTTCGATTAATTCCTTAATATAGCTAATGCAGTAAGTAATCACGTTATAAAACATCAATGTATAAAAACATGTCATTTTTGGTTCTAGTATAAAGGTGCGATCAGCCAGCATAAAAAATACAATTTGATTTATCATCATACAAATATTCTTCATTTTAAGAAAAAGGTTTTCTGCTCGATCGATCGGATCATACAATCGTATCAAAAGTATATTTAATTGTTGCCATATCATCTTGGTAGTTCACCTTTAAATAAAATAAAATAATCTAATTTAATAATTCAAAGAAACTTTAATTGACTTATTTATCATTATCATTTATCATTATTATTATTATCTCTCTCTTTATCTCTCTCCTCCATCTTTTTATATTTCAAAATTCAAATTAAAGAAGATTGTATTTAATTTTATTTTTGCTTAATTTAATAATTTGATTTACTTTTCGATCTGATTCAAAATGAGAAAATAGTATACACGTGTTATTTTTAATTTCTCATAAATGTGATTATGCTAGCTTGAAAATCGAAAATTATCAGCTATATATATGCGAATATGAAAATTGTACTTACCTTAGCTTAACTCCACCAAATTTTGCACAAACAAATATAATATAAATAGACACCAAATGATAGCACACTTGAGGAACATATATTTTATTTCAAATGAAATAATATTTAAAAATTCTAATAGTATAAATAGTATAAATACATTATTTATATTACATTTATATTTTGTATTATATTATAATTTAGAATTGTTAATCATGACCAATTATATATTATTTTTTTAAAAAATTTTTTTTTAATTCAATTACATTCTCAAATCATCGTCTTTCGATATATAAAACGTACATGACAACAATTTCTATAATTATTCTTTATTAAGATTGTAATGAGGTAAGAGAGAGATAGGAGAAGAAGGGAGGGGGAAGGGGCACCATTTAAGGATTCGAATATTTTCTTTTATAAAATATTCTTGTATAAATTTCATTATACGAATAACACTATTATTTTATTGCAATATGTAAAAATGTGCCAGAAATGCATTCAGCATATTTATCAATGTCTTTATTAATTTTTATAAGCTTGAGATTTAATTACAACTGTTCATTTTAACTGCTGCTGGCTTTTCCATAATATTAGAACGTTTTCATTATCCGTTTATCATTTAATTATTGATTATTTTTTCTCGTTTCTTTAAGTTCATAATAACGAATACAATTGAATTCCATAGAACTGTCCCCAAATTAACTTTTCTTTTTATCCGTAAAGATAATTTTTCTTCACGATCTTTTCAATGTACATATTTTTTAGCAAACAATATGTTAAAATATTGCATCTGGATTATGATAATCGTGAATAATTTTTAATTTTATTTTCGCATATGTTATATTTTATGGTATGCGATGGAAAGATGTACATATATATTTACATCGGCTTCGTAAGAAATTTCTTTTGCTGTGACACAGCAATTGAAGGTAACAATTTTTATCGTTTTTCTCGATCGAATACTCTTGATCGTACTCTTTCCATCCTCTTCTTCTTCTTTCCATAGCAAATTTCGATAGCATTTTTTTAAAAATTTATCATACTACATACATATATATATATATATATATATATATATATATATTACTTATATACATAATACATAAAACTTATTCGAAATAATAAATTTTTGATTTTTGAAACAAGAAAATTTTTCTTTTTGATAGCTTTTTTCATGACCCACAGCATAAATTTATACGACATGTTGTCACTTTTCAAGTTCGAGAAATATTAAAGATAATGTGAATAGAGTTTGAGTGTGCTATAAATTTGTGTCTATATTTTTTACGTGTTTATATTTTTTTCACGTAGAACTTAGCCAAGTGCCAAAGTAGCTAAGGTAAGTTATATTTTTATATTCGCATGGCTCAATATTTGAAATGCATAATCGGGCAAAATTTTCAAATTATCATAATCATTAACTGAGAAATTAAAGATAGTGACGCGTGATTGATCGATGCATCGACAATTTCTTATCGATTTGGTCAATAGAATAAATTTGTTGACGAAGAGTGACAAGTGCAAACAACACGTCAATAAATGACGATCTTTTTTTGTCTTTCATAACAGTTCAACTAAGAAAATTTACATATTAATGGATGTTCGTCTGAGAAAATCGGTGCAAACAAGGGAAGACGTGTCTGGAAGGATATTATTCACGATACGATGGATAATTAGGGCGAGAAGCAGGACAGTTTCTCTTGACAACCTAGATCATCTCTAAGGGGTGAAACGATAATAGATACATCGATTCATTTTGTAAAATCAACAGCTGTGTGCCTTCCTCCCCCTTCCTTCTCTTGCCCTTTCTTCATATCCCTATAAAATAAACCGCACTTGGCTTCAATGGCACATTCAACGTCTTTCCGTCTTCGCGTTATCATATTTTCTTGCTCATTGTTATTTAATTCTACGCGACTAGAAACACTTGGATCCGAATATCTTCTTAGGGTGAGCACCGAGTGCACCGTCTTATGCTTTTCATAACGGTCATCATCAATTTCTTATTACATAATATATTTCATTCTTTGTTTTATATCGAAGTGGAAAGTCAGTATAATGAATAAATGGAGAAAAATGGGTAGAAAGGAGGATCGTGTAAATGAGAACAAGATAGAAAAATGAGAGAAAAGTCATCAGAAAAGCCATCAGTGGGGGAGGTGGAGATATATATATATATATATATACACAATATATACATATATATATATTATAAAATTTAATAAGTAAAAGAAAAATTTCTATCATACTTACGATAATTATGCGATGATATATCATCATAGATTTAATCGTATATTTTTAGTTAACTTTCATTCGTAATTATATACACATGTATATAATTAATATTGAATATTCTTGGAGAAAGAAAAAATAAAGATAAATAAGATAACGAAATGACGTAAAAATCGAAGAGAATGGAAGATTCATGTTTAAAATACAAACAAACATGTTATTAATTTATTTTCATCAAAATTAATTTAGCTTTGACGTTAAACTCGACTCGATCGAAAAATACAAATTTGGTAGAAATATAATTATAAATTTTTATTATTTTAATAAATAATTATTATTTTAATTCTTTCATATAAGTCACTTTTATTATCAATTATTTCAATTGTCTCGGATAATAAAAATTTACGAAATAGTAGTAATATGATATATTACATACGATACTTTTCAACGAAATAATTGTAATTCAAAAATCTTGAATATAATCGTTATAATTAAATTTGCACTAAATTTAAATGTTTAAAGCTTTTACGTTATCCAGCGTAATCGGAATAATCTTTAAAAAAAAAAACATGTCGATTAAAGTTTCATGTCGTTATAAAATATTTTATCAGATTCATTCCTTATATTTTCAATGCATCGTTCAATTTATCCGTAAGAAATAAATTGTTTATTTCTCGTGAGTATCAACTCGTACAATTATATTGGAAAATTTGAATTGATATTAGCAATGAGGCAAAAACTCGTTCTAGTACATCAATCGTCACGGTTGAAATTAGTTTTCAACTAAAACTGCTTCCTTTTTCGATACATACTTGACTAGAAAGAAAGAAGAAAGGAAAAAAATAATTCTTTTTCTTTATACGCTGATTCGTGATAAGTGATTAATTGATTATCTCGTGATCATTTAATATATATATAATATTGGAAATATTTAATGTGATTCATTCGTTATTTTTTCTCCGTTCGGATCGGAGAATATATTTTTCACTTACATTTTTTGGAACAGATGATCTTGCAAAATTTAATATTTTTTTAATAATCAATAATTTTATCCAATTTCGTCTCGCATCAAGTTTTATAAGATCGTTGATCGTTGATTGCGAAAATTGATTTGATGAACGAAAAATTGGGAAATATAAACGTTCGAAGCTGTTTAAAGAATTAAATTTAACATAGAAAAATTTAAAATATAAATATAATATCAAAATGAAATGTTAAAAATGAATATAAATTATTTAATTATAATAAATATTACTATTTTTAAAGTAATAAATTTTCAAAATCCTCGAAATTTATCATTTATTATATATTGTTCAAAAGGAATGAAGGAATAGAAAGGAATGAAAACTTAAAATTGATATTATCGAAAGTAGTAAGTGGAGGAAAAAGAGAAGAGTTTCATTTAACGTAAAGTGAATGAAACGGAAGCGGATGATACCTTATCTTACTTAGCTCGCTTATTGACTTTCTCGCTTGTAAACGTTTAAATATCAATATAAAAAATATCAATATATATGTATATACATTTATGAAATAAATTATTTTTGTGGGGAGACAAATATTTGTGCATGGACGCGCAAATATTTTACAAATTTTACTTTAAATTTGTTTCAAGAAAATTATTTTGCTTCAGACTTTTTTCCTACGATTTGATTCCTATGACATTCGATTTACGAATAAAATTTTGGTTATATTTGGTTAATGATAATATCGGATATTCTTGATATTCAATATTTGTGATATATACATATATGCATTGAAAAAACAATAAGCTCGTTTAATCATCTCTATTCAGGGAGGGAAACAAATCTCGAATTTTGTTTCAATTTTGTTTCAGATCTACGGAACGCGAAATGTTTGCTATACAAACTATCCGCATAGCCGTACTGCTTGCCATTGCTTTTCTGTAAGAATCATCAAAGCTTCAAAACATTTCATCTTATTCTATTTACTATTCGTAAATTTCGTTAAATGGATTACGTATTATACTTATCGTTCGTTTTCTCTTCTAACGTGATATTCTGAAGTGACATTTCGAACAATTCGTATAACAGAATTCGTTTATTTTTATTATTGATAAGTAAAAATTTATTTAGATATTAAAAAGATACACGGATATTTAGTTATCTTAACGACTCGATACAATATGTATCCATGCATCAATTACCCGTGTGAAAAACGAGGATAATAAACGAGAAACGTAAACAAATTTGATATGGTATTATTGTAGGTAGATGTATGACAATAATGTACGTATACTTGATTCGATCAGGTTTGATAAATGTTCCGGTTATCCATCGATAAGACAAGGAATAGCATCTTATTGCTCAGGATGTGGTGATCTTTGCGACGAATGCAAATACGGTGTTGCGATGTCGAGCGTTTGCGGCATTCAGCAATGCGCAAAGGCAAGTAATGAATCTATGTTTTTATAATAATTAATCGATCGAGGTGTACAATGTTTTACGATAATTCTACATTTATTTTTCCA